AATGTTGGTACTTTTAATTCTTATAATACTTCTTTAATTTGTAATTTTTTACTATAAATGATAAATTATTTAAAATGTAAGCTATAAATATGAATAACACTGTCACAATGTGATAAGCTGACAAAGCCATCCATAAAAGTCGTCAAATTTAGGCTAATTTATATAGCACTTTTCACAATACACATGGTTTCAAAGCAGCTTTACAGAAAATCTTGAAGTTAATGTTTATTATTTATTTACGTCTTTATGCCTTACAGTCACATTTAGCAGATTAGAGATCTAGCAGATGCCTATAAAGTACTTATTGCCTAGAAACACATATTGTCCAAGAGGATGGACAAATTAACTAGACAAGCTGTTTAAAAATCAAAACACTGAAGTACATATTAAATTGTCAAAAGTTGTCAGATTTTAGAAACTATGGAACATGTGCTTACTATGTGCAGACAATATAAAGAAAAGAGGGAATGCATGATGTAAGAATTAGGAAGAACGGGAAGGACAAGCACAGGAATAAAGGATATACTGGAATGGGGTGTGAAGGAGCAAGGCAATAGATCTATTTGTGCATTCATAACAAGAAAAGAACAGATGAGGAGAATATGATGTTATGAAAATAACAGGGTAATAATAATTTCACAAGATGGCATTCGGATGCAAGGTCAGTGGAAGTCAGTGAAACAAAAACTGCAGTGTGACCGTACCGTTACTAGAACATGTTGTGTTCATATTTCTACTATGAACATCAGGCTATGAAAGAATATGCTAGAATGCAGTTCCATTAATTTTTATTGACTTCTGTCATCAGATTGGCTCATATTTTGGGGCGTCTCTGAGTCTGTTGGATGTGGATTCTGATGGAGACTCAGATTTCCTGCTGGTCGGAGCTCCATTATTTTACCAGTCTCGGCCGAGGGCTGAAGGGAGGCTGTACGTCTACGCTTTATCAGAGCAGTTACGCACAGATTCATAATTCTCTGAGCAGCTGTTCAGTTTAGGGATAGGGGAAAATGAATCCCCTTACTATACACTGTAAAAAAAAATCTGTAAAATTTACATTCTGTAAAAAAACTGGCTGTGGTTGCCAGAATTTTACCACAAAAAATATGGTGGCAACATTTTAGGTTTTACAGATCTAATTTAAATTTACATTTAAAACTGTATTTCATTAACTGATATAATGTTAATATACCATACTATTGAAGTACTTAAATCAGTTTTGTAGCTTTGTAATACACTGATAGCCACCAAATGCTGGTGGTGAGGAGAAAGTCACATGATGAAGCAAAACTCATCACAAGCAGCCTTTCCACAAGTTGAGACGGACAACACTAACATATATAGGAGGTACACAATGTCATTCACACAAACACTAAACACCATCATGGTAACACACATGAAAATGAAATAATGCAATAAACATTAATTTAACATTGGATGTAACATACCACCCTATTTTACATAACTGGTAAGAAAAAAATAAGGAGAAACAGTTATTTCAACGAAAAAACAAAAAAAAAAACATCAAATGTGACGCAGGGAGTTCTGGGAATGTCAATTTACGTTTTTTCACTGTAAATTATACATTCCTTGCCACTTCCAAAAACTGTATGTAATTGTAAAATTACACATAATGTCCAATACAGTTTTTCAGCGGAACTTACTGTTAACCAATTAATAAGTTTTTACTGTAGCATTTTTACATTCTTTTGCCGTTAAAATGACGGTCATTTTTTACAGTGTACTGGTAAAGATTAAAAGCTTCAGAGCATCGACAACAGCGATACTGGCTTTTTTACCATCTGTTAGCTGGATAAATTTACAACAGCCATAAAGCCTGGAAATATAGTGCATATTTTATCAACTAAAAATGTTCCTGAATGGAGAAACTTTTTTGTTTTTCTAGCAGATGTAATTTGTCAAAGTAGTATGTAAGCTTTTGCAAAATGTTCCTTCCCCCTCATTAAACACCAACACCAAAACACACACACACACACAAATCAATCAAAAGTCCAAGAAACAATGCAAGCCTCGATATGAGGCTTCATTGGAAATTGAACTACATACTCAATACATGCATTGGAGCTTCTCAATCATAACTCAGATTCGATTATGATGATGTTCTCAGTACAAACATATGTGACTAAGATTTTTGCCTGGAAGGCTGCTAGTCGTCACCATTGCATCACTTAATTGGGATTGCCTTTGTAATAGGTTCCCAGTGCCATTCCGTTGCGTGAAATTTGTGCTGGTGCTTCATGTGCCAATAAAGATTCTGTTTAAACTTTCTCTCTCTGTAGTATTTTCAGAAGACTCTGAATGTGAGTGAATCAACCACAGGTAGATTTGCTGCATCTTTGGCTTCACTAAAGGACCTGAATGGAGACAGTCTGTCAGATGTGGCGGTCGGGGCGCCGCTGGAGAATGAAGGAGTCGTCTACATCTACCTGGGCCACAGGAGGCATGGCATAAACCCTGAACACGCTCCTCAGCTGAGAGTTTGCTGTGCTTCCATCAATCCCAAACATTGTGTTTGTGCTCACATTTAAGACCGAATATAGGGGCTTTTGCACCACAGAGTCCAGGAGTTTAAGGAATGAGCCAGCAGGGTGGTTCCTAGAGAACCAATTTTGGGCAGTTTTCCTGGTTGCATTCGCACCGGCAGCAGGAACTCTGAAGCGGCCAACAGCAACGTCTTTATTTGCGGCATTTATAAACGTCAACAGCTGGTGAGTGGAGGACGCCATGTTCGGAGCTGCTTTTGTTGTGTGTCGTAGGTTTCGTGATAACGGAGATGAAATGTAAACACACAATTTACACGATTGAAAGAGCATGAAAATCGTCTCAGGTTACTTATGTAACCATGGTTCTCTGAGTAGGGAACGAGACACTGCGTCCTCTAGGGGTCGCTATGGGGAACGCCTCGTCGTGACCCGTGTCTGAAGCCGTAATCCCAGCCGCTTTAAAACTTATAATACTTCTCTTCATCTGTCTTTTTCTTTAATTTCAAAGAAGTAACCTTTATTGTGCTAGGTGTGGGCGATATACACACAATAAGCACAAAATTTGTCAGCAGGTACAAATTGCAGGATTATTGTCTTTGTCACAGTTACACTCACGTGACATTGCATTGCTGTGCTGTCATGAAGGTCTGTCATTTGCATCTGTTTTTAAGCCTTGACAGTTTAAACATTCAAGCAACTTCAACCCATTCAAGCACAAAAAGATGTAAAAAAGCAATTAAGTTCGGTCCTTGTGCACTGTTCTGACAGGTGCTTTTCTGTGTGCGCACATGCAGACAACTTTCATAGCACCTGAGGACTGAATTGAGCTCTTTTTGTGGCTAATTGCACTTAAACTGTCAAATACATGCAAAATATGTCATAGCAGTGAGAATTCACATAAACACAGTCAGTTATGTCTTAAGTGAACTAGACTTGTGCCGGTATTCGGTAATGCGATAAATCACGGTAATGAATATGGTGTTTTTGTGTTTTTCCGGATGATTGACTCCGGAGCCGCCCTGAATCTCATCCGCCAGGACATCGTAACCAAATATCAAATCCCTACACAAATGTGCACCCCACCTATCCAA